GGATACGCTGTATTGTAACAACTGACCGGACTATTGCAGTATTGCATACACTTGTTTGGGTCAACGCAGGCAACCTCTTCGGTATACAATACCCGACTAATCATTCCGGGAATTATTATCAAAAATAGTGGAAATATCTTAAGAAATCCCGCAAAGAGAGTGCCCCCCTGTGCGTGGGATAACGATTTGGCCGCCAATAGCCTTTGGACCATCATTTGGTCGGCGCACCAATACCTGGATTATTGTATTCAATGAGAATGCAGTGAATACTTGACTGCTGTTTGTGTTTATATAATACCAAATAGAAGCGGGTGTTTGTCCGAGAATGAAGCCGAGCCAAGGCATGTCCGGATCGTTCAATGGTCTGAGCATTTGGAAAGAGTGCTCTTTAGGGATCGCACACTCGTACTTATGGGACGGAATCGACGCCGGAATCGCTTTCAAATATTTCTCTCTCAAACCACCCAAACCTCCCACTTCTATAATACCTATAAAATGACAATTTGTATATTATAAACGTTTATATCAATATGTATTTTCAGAATTCTATCAATGCTATATTAGTTTATAAATGCAAACTGACAAGTTTTTGTATTAAATAATAAATAAATCACATTTGTCGCTAAAATTCTTATAATTTTGTTCACAAATGGTTGAAAAATATCAAACAATCATTAAATGAATTTATTAATGAATTGGCAATTATTATAGTTCTAAATCTATACAAATTTGTACGAATTTATATACAGTATTCATATTTCGCTTTAGGATGTGATTCTTTGTCCATTAAATTATTACTTAACATGCAGGTACATGCATATGCTAATAATATAAATTCTCTATATATTCATATAAATAAATGTTTACCTATTTAAAAATTATTAGAAAATCAGAGCAAGAAATACAAAAATTAGGTTTAAAGAACAGAATACACTGTACAGTGTATAATGATATGATTGCAAATCACTTACTCATTACTGCGACCACAGAAGAGCCGACAATCATAATAAGACATTGAAAAGTATCCGTATATATAACTGCTGTGAGTCCACCTGAAAATATTTAATGCAAAACTTAATACTAATTACAATTAATTGTCAATCTATAACATACCAGTGACTGTACAGATAGATGTAATCACTAATAACAAAATCACACTGAAATACAGATCCCAACCCAACGCCTGCTGAATGAATATACCGCCCGAATATAGATTAACCTACAATTTTTGTATTTACATTGAAATTATTATTTTTTAACATTAATTATGCAATTATTCAAAACATACGGATATTTTTGTAAAGATATACAAAAGCATCGATAGGATGGCTAAATAAGTTCGTATTCTTCTGCCACCAAATCGTTTAGACATATACTCGGGTAAAGTACACACCTATTTGTGTGTATTATATAATTAATTATTTTTGTAAAGATATACAAAAGCATCGATAGGATGGCTAAATAAGTTCGTATTCTTCTGCCACCAAATCGTTTAGACATATACTCGGGTAAAGTACACACCTATTTGTGTGTATTATATAATTAATAAATTTAAAAGTTTGATTGAAAATTTCAAAATTCTTACTTTACTCGCTATGAAAACTGGCAAAAATATCCAACCAGTGATTTGGAGTATAATTAATGCCTATTATTTTAGTAAATTTTTACAACATTAAACGTTTGATGCAAAACATTTCTGAAAAGCTTACATTGAACTCAAAAGCTCCGACTCCTAACCCAGAAGCAGCTCCTGTTAGACAAAAATCCAGATTAAAAACTTTTAAATAACTTCTAATGACTTTCCTATTTATAATTAAAATGGTTATTTGGTTGTTAAAGCATTTCATTGTAATCAATTTCAATCATGTTAAATTTTATAATAAAATGTTTTATATTTTTAGAGAAAAAAGACAAACATTTGTTATAATGGTTGTGTTTCGCCATTAAAAGTCTTAAATTAGACGCGGGGAATGGCCGGGGATTTAAAGTGATAAATATTATAATATTTTATGAATGAGTGTAGTATTTGCTATTATGATATGATATTTACCTGACCCGGCTAATCCAATAAAATGCTCAGATCCTATATTTGATGCAAACACTGATGCGCCCACCTATGGATGAATTGACAATTTTAAATACTTTTGTAATGATTAAATGCTATTAACTATCATAGGAACAAATGTATACAAACCGGAAGCCAAACCATATATCTTCCGGCCAGAAAATATCCGCTTATAGTTCCTCGATTTGATTTATACATAGCCTGCAAGCCAATGAATTGCTTTTATTGTTTAAAACTTTTATTTTGTTAATTAACATTACTGTACAGTTATTTGATTTGATTTAATCAATAGTTTTATTGTTTATAAACTTTCTACCAATGTACTATTTGCTTAGTGTTTGTCCCTTCCATAACTTAAATTCATCTAACAATTGTAAGAATCGTGAATATAACCCTTATATTATAATTCACTAATAAATATTATATAAATAATGTTTTAAATATTTTTAAATCTTTATAATTGATTGACTAAATTATGCATTTAATGAATTAATAATATCTCAAAATAGGACTTGATTTGAATTAAAAATATATAAACTACAAAATCATATCAGTATTTGATAAATCTAATAAATTGTGCTAATGTTTGAACATTTATCTTGTAAAATTAAAAAAATATTTAAGTGAACTTTGTATTTATTATTTATTTCTGTTGATATAAACTAAATGAAAGTGAAAGTCAACTCTTTTCGTCTCTTTCACGGTTTGATGGCTTAAAAACAATGTGTTTTACTTAAAATAATATAAGGTAACAAATATATAACATATAACATAATGGATATTTTGTTTGTAACAGGTTTTGCAACTACTAATTAGCAGTCCTTGAGATGAGTCCTAACCTGTTGTAAGAGTTATAACTAATAATAGTTTACATAAAAGAAAAAGTAATTTAAAAAATGAACGGAAATCTCATAAACGGAATTCAATGTAATTTCAAACGTTCATGAATTGAACAAAAAGTGAACAAAAACCACATTTGAAAGAAATATCTCTATCCTTAAACCTCTTGATCTGTCGCTATCCTTGATTTGAGATCATGTTATTCTACTCTCATTTAGTGCTTGTAATACAAAACTGAAGGTAAGCTTAGATTCTTGTGATACCAGACGAGAAGTTAAAATATTATTTGAAGGTTTTTTGTTGCATTAAATATGTTTAAAAACTCGAGTAATTTGTTATTAATTGCTTTGATATATACTCTGTTTTCGCAAAATTGTGCAAATATTATCTGAATTTAGTAACAAATCACTTATACAGTCAAACCCCCGATACTAACATTCTTTTGCACTTAATATTTAATTATTAATAATTTATTTATATTAATTAAATTGCATTTTTATAAAATATTTAATATAAATTGATTAATAACAAAATAATCTCTTTTAAACTAACTAGTTAAATATTTGAATAGAAATGTCTAAAATGTATACGTTTCCATTGTAATTACATTGTTTATATACAAATATTTAAATATTTATTTACTTTAAATTAATAATACAATTTTTACTCATTAATAATATTAAAATTTAGTAAATTTTAAATTTTTCTATACAAAATATTAATCAATGGAAATATATTGTATGGAAATAATGTAATGAATGTAAATAATAAGAATTATGATTGTTATATGTATTCTATGTTTTCTAGACTTATTTATAACTGAAATTTAAAAAATTAATTCTGTAATAAATTGGAGAAAATGCCTTTTTAGTATAAATTTTTATAAAAAATCATATTATAATTGATTATTAAAAATTATGTTAACTTATTGAATAAACAAAACATAATATCTGTTATTATATTATAATAAAATTTATGGTTAATAGAAATGATGAATAAACACTCACATAGAAGCCGGTGGCCAATACGAGTGCAAAATAGATGACTACAACACTGATGTCACCGCCATTCAAGTGTCTTCCATCGTTTGTATTGTAATTTGCAGTCAAACTGTCGTTTAAAACTGTTATAACCGGTGATAACGAAAGCGATTGCATTGGGA